AACAGGGCGTGGTAGCACACACCTATAATCCCAGCACTCAGGAGGCTGAGACAGGAGGATCACTGCGAGTTCGAGACCAGCATGGGCTACAAAGTGAGCTCAAGGCCAGCCTGAACTGCATAGAGAGACCCTGTCTTAAAAAGACAAAAAGAATAACAACAATAATAATAATATGTATATAATATATGAACAGTATGTTTTACCTCATGGGTTTGGTCTAAGGCTCTGCATTAGGACATAAGAAAAACTAAGGGTCATTTGAGCTACTTTGAAAAGCATATAACTGATAGGATACAAAAACATATTTGGCATCAGAGAAAAGCAAACCTTTAAAAGCCACTTACATGGTGTGTGTGCAACTACTGGGTCTCTGCATGATTTTCCTTCTCTGAAGATACTGTAGAATGCTGGTAGGGGGGACTTCAGGATATGGTGGTGCCCCTGTGAACATGGAAAGAAAAAGTAGCAAGAGAACTTTAGAGCTCTCTAACATGTGGATGGCAAATAACACTGCTCTCCATTAACTTGGGCCAATCACCTGCAAAAGATAGAGCAATAGGAAGAATACTACATCAAATATAGTTCCTCCTTGTTGATCAAGTAAGGATAAGGCTTGGTGAATTTGGAGAAAGCTTCTAACTGATGTTAGAAGAATTTTGAGTCTGTAGGAAATAAAATAAGACAAAGACTTGCCTTCTACTCTTTATAACTTAGGAAAAGGCTGCAGTTTCTTAATGGGATGAGTTAATAAGTCTAAAGAAAACAGTTTGTTACAGAAAAATCACTCTGGAAATTATCCTTTATATTCAAAAACACCCCTTTAAAATTGATATTGCTTGGGGGGAAAGAAAGAAAGAGGAAGACAGCAAAAGAAAGTTAAGAGAAGGACAGGGAGGGAGGGGGCAAGGTAGAGAGGGAATCATCACTTTATAAGATTTCTCGGGAACCAGGCTTGGAATTCATGTCAGCCCAATTCAGTCTTTAGGCCTGTTCTGAAATATTTTCTCAAAGAAAATATCATCCACTCTCCCACACACCACGTACATGTTGACATTAGAGTCACGCACTATTTTGGGGCATCCTTACCTAGAGTCACCATCTCATAGAGCAGAATCCCAAACGACCAGCTGTAAAAGAAACAAATCCATCTACTTAACATCTGTTTTTCCTTTCCTAAAGAGAGGTCAAATATCAGAAGCCATCAGGAAGAACTACCAAAAATAAGGTAATGAAAGAGAATCAAAGAGATAGGATAAAATGAAGTACTTAAAAGTATTTCTTTCCAACTCCTTTAGATTCGAATGTCTTTAAGACCGGATCTGTGTCTCTTTTTCTGTATTTCACATTAACAAATGTTTACTGTTATTTGCTAGTGTGTGGATGCAGACACACAAGCCATTCACCCAAATGGAGAAATCTCGCCCTACATCTTCTTTTATTCTTTCCCATTCCTCTATGCTAAAACATCAGCCTTTATTCTCAACACAAGGCTAAGAGAGGTTTATCCTTTATCCACCATTTTCTCAGCAGATCCAATTGCCCAAATCTAACATAAATGTTAACAGACCAAGTTTTCCATACAGTGTTGCCTAGGCAACACTATCCTATAATATCATTAAAGAAATACTATTTTATAATTAACTTTATTACCCACAGATGTCTATTGAAAAGCAGCCATAAGCGAAGTAGAAGTTTCTTAACTGACTTGCCATGTTAACACTTAAGTTTCCCCTGCCACTCACGGCTCCTAGAAAATTCGCCATCTACCTGGTTCTTTAAGAAGTTGAGTGGTGTGGTTACCAGAAGTGACCCGTGACTCTTTACAATCCTGTTTATACCAACTGTACACATAACTGTAATGGTGTGTCATTATATAACCAAATATTGTACAAGTTGGTTTAACATAAAGGGCAAAAAAGTTATCTCACTGAAAAATAAATTGAATGCTTTGAAAATGGACTATACAAATATGCTATACAACTGTAAAATCATGTGACTGAGACAGCTATAGAACATAGGAAAAATTAAAAGTCTCCAATCAAATTGTTTCACAATTGTTTTCAAGTTTCTCACTAAGCTTAGAGCCATCCCAAACTGGAACTGAAAACTTAGTCATGGTGGATACTATTTAGATAAGAACCACAACATAATAACTTCATGCAGGAGCCACATCCTCATTGTGGCAGCTTTGATATCATTTACAAATGGGAAGGGGACCACGTGATGGGGAAGAGGGGAGAAAGAAGGGTGAAGGGGAACTGAAGAGAATTCAAATGTGCTGTGTTATGTACCAATGCCCTGCGACATATGTAATCATTACGTACTGCAAACATGTACTAATAAAATCATTTTTTCTGTACCGGGAATGGAACTCTGGACCTTGAGCTTGCCAGGCAGGTGCTGTGCCCCTGAACTATATCCCCAGCCCATAAAAATAAACTTTAATGCAGCTTTGCTCCTTAAGATTATAAATAAATGTTTATATTTTAACTTGAAATACATTATTTGAGGTATGTATGTTCTATTTGCTTTAGTATTTCCTGGGTTAAGTGGTCTTATATGGACACACACCCTTGAGGATAACTCAGATATTGCTGTGAATAATGTTTTCATTTTCCTTTTTTATTCCCAATGAAGACTGCTAATTTAATACAGAAGGAAAGGCACTATAAGAGGATTGTCAAACATAAACTCTATCGCATAACATTTCTGCTTAAGAGTAAGTCTGACTCCAAGGAAAGAGAGATCTCATTTGCAGACATATTTGTCAACACACACAAAGTCATATTCAGAGGGGACACCCAGGCCATAAAGGGAAGAAATCCAGAAGCCAGCAACAAACCGTACATGTCTCCTCTGATGCCAGCAGTTCTCAGGAGCAGTCGCTCTGGAGGGAGCCACTTGAGAGGGATGGTTCGAGTAGCAGAGATGGCCCCTTGAGCGTGGACTTCATAAGCCAAGCCCAGTCCACAGAGCTTAGCTGTCAAATCATTTTGAATCAAGATATTTCTGGCCGCCACATCACCGTGGAACAGACGCTTGTCCTGCAGGTATTCCTGTCACCATAGGATCACAAAATATCAGCTGCCTGAAGGTCAAAGCCCAGCTCAAGGATAAGAGAAATTAGTCCTAAGAAACCTCAGAAAGATAAGGGAATTATCTACTCTCAACAAGTTTCATTAATAAAGGTATCACTTTCAAAGTATGTTAATGAATGAGACATTTTTGTCTTCGTCTTTTTTTTGAGACAGGGTCTCGCAATGCAGTTCAGGCTGGCCTTGAGCTCACTTTGTAGCCCAGCCTGGCCTCAAACTCACAGCGATCCTCCTGCCTCAGCCTCCCAAGTGCTGGGATTACAGGTGTGCACCACCACACTCTGGGCCTTATGTATAGTATTAGCAAACTGAGCAAATAATATGAATGACATTTATTTGTTTACCTATTTATCTGTGCAGTGCTGAGGACTGAACCCAGGGCCTTATACATAGTAGGCAAGAACTGTAGCACTGAGCTACATCCCCAGCCCTGATACTAGATTTTGATAGTATAATCCCCTGCCCTGTATTGAACTCTGGTGGCCACTTGATTTCTCTTTCTCCTCAAGTAGGACCCAGTTAGCTATTCAAAAGGAGAGTAGATCCCATAACAAAACTGAGTGCCATAATAATAAATTTATGTAGTCAGGCATGGTGGCACACGCCTGTAATCCCAGCAGTTGGGAGGCTGAGGCAGGTGGATCACCATGAGTTCAAGGCCAACCTGGGCTACATAGTGAGTTCAAGACCAGCCTGAACTACACAGTGAGACCTTGTCTCAAAAGAAAAAACTAGTAAATAAAACAAATAAATAAATTTATACAAAGTTTTACATCTCATTTTGTCCCTAAAATAATTGGAAGAGGTAAGTTAGGGCATCTTTCAGATAAATCTAAATGAGTACACAAGGTCACACAGTTATTAAGTAACAGTGAACAAAATCAGATGTTGCACTTCATAGGAAGTACTACAAAAACTCTACTAATAATTCCCGAGCCAGGAGCTAAATCAGAATTGCCTGAAAGATATTCTAAAATTGTGCTGGGCGTGGTGGCACATGCTTATAATCCCAGCACTAGGAGGTTGAGGCAGGGAAATCGTTGTGAGTTCAAGACCAGCATGGGCTACAAAGTGAGCTCAAGGCCGGCCTGAACTGCACAGTGAGACCCTGTCTCAAAAAAAAAAAAAAAAAAAAAAAAAAGTAAGATTTTTCACCCCAGGTTCACATCATTTCTGAAGACCACATGACCCATATTTTAAATGTCAAAACAATTCCAGTAAAACCAAGAATAATTGAAGAACCACTGTAGCTATGACAGAGATTTGCTGGAGTCCTTTCCTACAACATGAAGCTATTCAAGAAATACAGAGAAGCTGAGGTGTTACGCATGCCTGAAGAGTCAGTGACTGAGGGTATGATGACTAAACAAGGATGGTATAAAAAAATTAAAAGGTTAAGGTGATAATTTCCAATCACTGATGAAGGACACAGTGACGAGCTGTTTTCTGTCTCTTTTTGAGGTTTCAGAATCAGAAATTGTGCTGTGATGAGAAAACATAAGGAATATACTGATTTGGAAGTTGTTAAAAATAAGAATAAGTAGTATGATATTGCCTGTACTGTAGGCCATTGATGCACAGACCAATTCATCCCTACAAGGCACCTCTGCAATTATGGATCAGAAGACAGTCAGGTATGTGGTGCACAACCTGTAATCCCAGCACTCAGGAGGCTGAGGCAGGAGGATCACCACAAGTTTGAGGCCAGCCTGGGCTACATAGTTAGTACAAGACCAGCCTGAACTACATAGTGAGAGCTTGCCTCAGAAAAAAAAAGAGAAGGTAAGCTGGCATCTGACACCATAACGTTATCAAGGGAACATTACAACCACTGCAGACAATAATCACTTATATGATATGTCCTGTCCCTTGTTGCATAGGAACTTCAACTGCAATTACTGCTTTTTTCTTACCTTAACACTTTTTTTGCTAAGAGTTTTCTGATTTGAGTTAGAGCGCTGGTGTATTTCACACTTTAAGGTGTGGAAAGATATATCAAATACTTAAAATAGTAGCTTCACTAAGCCTTAGTTCTTCTATAGCAAACACTAATTTTGAACACAACTTTTGAATAACTTCCTAGAAATAGTCATCTAAATCCCTTAGTAATTCTGGTAAAGGTAAATTATTTTTCTTAATCCTAGAGTTCTCTTGCCTCTTTAAGCTGGCTTAAAATAAAGAGAGTGATCTCATGTTGCCTCTTCTTGTTTTTCCTCTTCCACTCGTATCTTATTTTTTAAGTATAAATACACTGTATCACACTTATTATCACAGCAAGTCTCCAATCAAACATGTTCTGAACTCGTTTGCCTTGTTTTTCAGGCATAATTTTGTATACTTTTGGTACCATAACCTTTCATTCATTCAGTTGCATTCCCATATCCTCTCCTAATTTGTTTCCCTAATTTCCTTTTTCATGTCTGTACGGAGACATAAGCGCATCAAGTCAGAGGGCAGATAACTCTTTGCCCTGGTATTTAAACTTTAAGACTGAATAAAATTTTCTAATTTTTACTGTTTCTTCTGTAAACTCTAATTGACTACCTTCTGCCTGGAATTACCAATCCTATATTATCTAAGTGATTTATATGAAGAAAAATCTAAAATAGTTTATCAGTATTTGTGACTGTCCCCTAACTTCTAATTTATTAAAAATGTATCTAAGATATATCATCTACTTGGCACTATGAATATGAAAACTCATGCATCAAATGCTAAACTAATAAGGAAAATTCCCCCCCATCTGATGCCTGAACTTACCAGAGCCAGAAGGACCTGCTTTCCAATGTAATAGACTTGCTTTTCAGTGAGATCGTACAGAAGTCCATCCATGGTCATCACATCCTAAACAGAGAAAAAGCTCTATATCAAAGAGGCGTTAACATAAGTGACTTTAAAAAGTATGGGAGAGATACACTGAAATGCAAATATCAAAGCTAAGAAAACCATACACATAAGGATTAAGAGTCAAAGAGAGACTAACATGAAAGATTTTGAAATATGTAGGAATAAGTAGGTCCAGAACTAGAAGAGCCATGAAGGAATGGAGATGAGTAACAGGTAAGTAGGAGCTGTGTGTGGGACTACCCACTGCATAAAGTGGCACTTTTGCTGGGAAAAAAGTATGTGCATGCATGTGTGTGTGTGCGTGTGTGTGTGTGTGCACGTGCACACATGGTTAATTTAATATATGAATGCAATACATCTTTCTTGAAGGCTCATACTCTGCCAGTTTCACAAGAGTGAGCAAAACAAATGCTGCTGCTACAATTATTGTGTGGCAGATGGGCATGAATTAGAATCAAGTAATCATAATAAGTAGATGGTTGCACCGCTCTCACGTGCCATGAAGGAAGCATGCAGAGTAACAAGAGCGTGTGATGCCGGGGTGAGGAGAGCAGATTCAGCTGACAGGACCAAGAAAGCATCCTGTGATGTCTGCAAGATGAGTGGACACAGCTGCAAAAAAGAGAAAGGAGAAGTCTGAAGTATTAAGAAAAATATATGAAGATGATCCAAAATACAGACGCCTGGTAGTTGTATAAGGAGCAAAGACACAAGGGTAATTAGAGTACAGAACAAGTCATAGGTAACCTCCTAAAGGGTTTTAAATGCCTAAGGACCTGCGCATTGTCCTATTTATATCACTGGATGAAAGATAAGAACATGGGCCCTTTCCATATATATTGAGTTGTGCAATAATTAGCATCTTGTGGAAGTTCAGTTAATACTGAACTTGCTCACTAGCAAGTGAGAAAGTTGAGAGATAGGTAGCTCTCCAGAAAAAGGAATAGAGAACTAAGGAAGGACTTCCACTGGAGATGGAAATTTCTAAACAATTTTAGAAATATGAGTTTGGGGCACAAAGATTCACAAGCTGAATTTGTCCCTCATCAGCCCTGGCATATAAGGGCGATGTTTCACAATGGAAGATACACTTAACAGTAACAATAAAAGAATTACAAGCATTATTAATAAATTATTTCACATAATTATTATAACAGCTATCATTTTGAGGACTTCCTAAGTTCCAGTCACTGCTACATTTTTTACACATAGAATGTCTTTGACTTTTTGTAGTAATGTGTTATGACTCTCCTCTTAGAAATTTAAAAAATGCAAAATGAAAGCACTAACATCAAAACTGACAGAGCTAGTAGAGATGAGAGCCCATGCTCTAAATTTGCACTACCGAGACAGTTGTTATTTACCTCATGTCTATTTAAACTTACATTATTTAAAATTAAATAAAATTTAAAATTCAGTTTCTCAGTCACATCCACCACATTCCAGGTGTGTAACTGGCTAGTGGTTACCAGGATTCCCAGTAGAGGTAGAACTTCCCTGCCATTGCAATCGTTCTATCTAACCATGATGCTCAACGTACTCTGTTATACTACTATATTCTTTCTTAGATTTTGTCATTCATGATGCTAACTAACAAGTGAACAGCCAATCAACCAGTCAAGGCTTTCCCTCCTACCAGCTCTACCCTACTGCTCACCCGGCGACAAGTCCAGAGAAAGCTGAGCAGGTTCCCTTGGGCCACATCTTCCAACAGCATGTAGAGGGGCAGCCTTTCTGTGCAGCAGCCTTCCAGGTGGACCAGGTTGTGATGTTTCCCCAGGTACTCATAGAACTGGATTCGCCCCACAAAATACTGCACCTCCTGGAGCCCAGCTGGTTCTGCAAAGGACAGAAGAGCTTGGGTAGTGAGCAGCTTCTGATGGTAATTCCCAAGGCCTCACAGGAGAGGAGGTGCAAACAAAACATAATACAAAAAGGACTAGTTAGAAGAAAATGGTGTTCAAGTCACTGGCCTATTATCAAAAGTCACATAGAGTCACAGATCTTAAACTGAATAAGTTTAAGTCTCCCTGCACAGGCATATGTTCTGTTCACATTGAAACATTACCACAATCTAGGCCTTTTGGTTAATATTCTTGCCTGTCTTATCTTTGTTCTGTTTTAGTGAGAGAGGAAGAGAAAGAGAGAAATTAGGAAAGGGAATTAAGCAGTGAAGAAAAATGAAAAATTCACCTCAGAATCTTATTCCAACTTTGCAAAGCATATTAACGGTTACAGTGATGGGCTCATGGGGGGAAAAATAAAGAAAAGTGGGAAGTCTAGCCCTTCTCGTCTTACCCTTTAAAGCCTTGAGAACAACACTCTTGGGCTTAGGAGGGTCCCCAGTGACCAGCGTGGCTCGATAAATGTTCCCGCAACTGCCCTTGTGGATCTGCTCCAGAATTTCAGAGAGTTGGTCCCGGGGTACCTGTAGCTTAGCTAGGGAAGGTGTGGCAGCCCGTAGAAAACTTTCCACTGATGTCTCCGTAAGTGGCATGGCCACTTTTCCTCCATGTCCTGCTGCTTCCCTGGGTCGGCCCCTAGATGCAGGCATGGGGGCAATCCCTAAAACAAAGAGGTGATATGAGCCCAACTCTTGCTATCCTAGGGATTCAATAAAAGAAGAGAGCCTGTAAAATACCAGCCAGGAAGGTCCTTCAGCAATTTTCTCTCTGGCCAATGTAAGGATGTCTTCCAATAGTCCTCCATGTACGAGTGTCAATCCCAAGCTTGTAGAGCCTTTCTAATAATTACTTCTTGGACAACTCAAGATGCACCGCTAGAAAGTAATCATGACATCTCCTTTCTGTCTTGCTCAGGACTGCAAGTCAGTGTTCCTCATGAGTGTGCTGTACAGAGACAAGGAAGTTCCTGACTACATCCCAAACCACATATGCCTAAAGATGGCGGGACTACAAGTGTGGACCATCATTTAAGTCAATCACACGGTTTCTCAAGTTGAAAGGAAAGTATGAGTAACCCCTCAACTACCAGCTGTGGTTATTCTTTCTTCTTTGAGTTATCCCAAAAGTCCAATTATTTCATATTTCCTTGAATCTTGCTTAAAAAAACTGTCCTGATATTTTCTAGCTTCCTTAGGCAAAATGAGTTTTTCTCCCGTTGAAAAAGAAAAGTTTGTTCTTATTATTAAATCTATAATAACTCATTAATTCATCCAATTATTCAACAAATATCACAGGTACTGTTCTGGATTTGGGGAGTAGGCTAAGTCTAGATTCTCAGGGAGACAACTTTCTAGTGATGGTATACATAATAATGCCTGAGACAGTGCATCTTATGGAGGAAAATGAGAAGCAGCATCAGCAACGTTATTTTCTGATAGCATCAGAAGGTCAAGAAGGACCTTCCTGATACAGTGACATTTGAAGAAGACCTGGAAAACATTAGGAAACAAACCATGCTGGCATCAGGGAGAATATTCTAGAAAAAGTGAACAAGATGTACAAAAGCACTAAGTAAACAATATACTTGATATATGTAAGGAAGCTGGAGCCCAGTGAATCATGGGAGAGTTGTAGGAAATAAGGCCCCAGAGGCCTGGATCACATAAAGCCCTGGGAAGAATTTTGTCTCTTTTCATTCTGAGCAAGACAGGAAGCTACTGCAGGTGGAGGGTTCAACAGGGACCTGAGAGGTGAATGAATGTCTAGGAGAAAACAGAGCATAAGAGATAGGGTAGGGACCAAGAAGGCACAGAAGTTAGGGGTATGTTCAATGATCTGTGAGAAGCGAGAGTGACGTGGGTTTATTATTTATGGTTTTGCTAATGGGCTGGACAAGGGCTGTGAGGGGAGTCAAGGGCTTCAACTGAAAACTGTTTACTGAGACAGAGAAGACGACCGAAAGAAGACAGTTGGAAAGGAATTTCAAGGCCTTTTGTTTTGGACATACTGCCTATGAGATGTGTAGTGTATTGAAATTGCAAAATAGGTGGTTTAATATAAAAATGTGGAGTTCCAGCCACCAAAATCAGAATAGAAAAAGTATTTAAACTGAAAGGGATGAAAACTATATCATTTATAAGTGATTTTAAATCTTTCACAAAAAAAATGTTCTAGGGCTGGGTGTGGTGGGACTAGCCTGTAATCCCAGCACTCAGGAAACTGAGGCAAGAGGATCACCATGAGTTCGAGGCCAGCCTGGGCTACATAGTGAGTCCAGGCCAGCATGAACTACATAGTGAGACCCTGTCTCAAAAAAGAAGTTCCAAGAAAGCAGAAGTGCAAAATTATTTCTAATGCTTTTTACTGGCCAAATAAGATGGGAACTAAGAAGTGATTATCAGACTAATGAACATAGCAATTATTGAGCTTAGAAAGAGTCATTTTGGGGGAGTCATAGGGATATAAGCCTTATTTTTGTGGGTTCAATAGAGAATTGATGAGAAGCAATGAGAATGAGTTTAAACAACGTCTTTGAGAAGCTTTCCATAAGAGAGAAATTTAAAAGAGCTGACATAAAGTTTAGAACAGGGCAAAGGATCAGACACTATGGAGTTTTATGCAACTGTCTTAACTGCCTCTTTTTAGTTTCATTTAGTTTCATGTTTGTGCTGATTCTCTTCCATTCTACAGAAGTACCACCAGTGGTCCTCCAGAAGAGCAATGATCACATCTCCTACCTAATACTTCCAAGACCAGCATGGAGGTCACTTCTTCTCATCGTATATTTTGGAGGACAAGGTAGGGATGGAAAATATGGTAGAGTAGAATTTTATCCTCCAAAGATGGCAACAAACCCTTGGGTTTTGCTTTCTAGGTTTTCTTCTCCATTCTTAGACACTACTATAGTCAAAGGTTTGAGAGTCTAGTAGGGCAAAGAGGACAGAAGTGGTCATATGTGGTCTCTCTTGCCTACTCTTCTTTCAATCAAGTGTGTGTGGTGCCCCAGCTCAGGACCTCTGGAGAAGAACCATCCTTCTAACTCCACAGGAGGAAACCCATACTTTTCCCATTTCAGGTACTGAGATTCCAGGACTTGGGCCCATTGAAATTTGGCCCACATTTTTCCTCATATGTGTCTTCTCTGAGCCCCTGCCTAACCCAGTGTTTGAGCTTTACCTCGGAGTCCCGGGCGCTGCCATTGGGATCTTTGTCCTCTTATAAATAGCCACAAGATGACAGCAAGAAGGATGAGGAAGGCACCAACCAGCAGAGTTGGGACAATGATCACCGCATACGCCTCTCCCTGTACGACTGAGTAGGCAATCAAACGGGAAGGGAAGAGAATAAAGACCTGACCAGATGCCATACAATCCCCTTGCCCACCATGTTCATCCCATCATATGTAAAATGTCACCTTTTCCGCCTTTCCCCCTGGTGGAATTCCCTCCTAGTGTCCCTGTTTCCTAGCCCAGCAAGTGTGTGCTGTGCCTCTTCTATCATTTTTTTCTGCTGAGATAGAGAAAGTAGCATCAGGATCTCTGACTGGCACTTACCCCTAGGCCCCAAAGGCAATGCCCTCTGGTCCCATTCTCCTATCACCATGGTCTTCATCTCTGATAGAAATCAGATCATCTGCCTTCTAGAATTTATTCAGACCCTGGTCTCCCTAACTATAAAACCCGAAGCTAGGCACTTGCAGCATCTCTACTTACGACACATCTTGTCGTTGAGGTTACATTCTAGGAGCACCCGCGCGGTGCCTCTCTTCTCTCCCATTGCCGCGGGGATTCTCGCTTCTCTCCTGGGCTCACAGAAACAGCGCAGACCACGAGCATCACTGGGAGTGATTCCCAATGCCTGAGGAGTGCTGGGGAAAATGGAGTATGCATGGATCACTACCCAGCTGCGCGTGGTGGCACACATCTATAATCCCAGCACTTGGGAGGCTAAAGCAGCAGAATCCCTTGAAGTTTAAGGCCAGCCTGAACTGCACAGCAAGGCCTTGTCTCAAAA